CCCCGTATGAGTCTAGATCCCCAGAGACTCACCCGGAACTGGAGTTCAGAGCAGTCAGGGGCTTGTGACTCCCTCCTGATTCAAAAAGACAGCCACGTCCTCAGTTGCCAGCCCTTGCCCTGTGAGGCCTCCATACCTCTGCACTTCTGCACCTCCCCTCCGTACCTCTGCACTTCCGCACCTCCTCTGAGTCTCAGTGTGCTTTTCTCTTTCCTTCTAGTTGTAGAATTTCCACTCAGCCAGCCTTCCTGTGGTTCTGGATGATGTCCCTTTTGTCTTTTAGTTGTATTTTTGAATTTGTTGTGGGAGGCAGCAATTTCCGGTGTTTACCTATGCCGCCATCTTGGTTTTTCCCAGTATATCTTATTTCATGAATTTGTCTCCTCATTTTAGATATTTCTGTTCTCATTCCTGCTTCAATATTCATCATTTTCTTGTTGATTTATCTGTTACATACTTTGCAAATAAATGAGCATTTCAATTTTAATCTTACATAGCTTTACTTTTTGGCAGAGAAGTTTTATATTTTAATTCAGATTTTGAATTTTATAAGTAAGTAAAAAAATCAGATTTTATTTTTCCTCTAAATGCTTAACCATTTAACTGAGAATTATTAATTGAACCATTCATTATTTTCCCATAACCTTGGTAATCTATTCTTATCATGCATATAGGACGTATATATATAGACATACTAGGGCCTGGTTTTAGTGGCCTTTATATTTGGCCCATCTGTTCCTGTGTTAGTAACACACTATCATAATTATGTTCGTTTTATAAAACCTTTGACATAAGAGGACCAACTCCATTCTCATTGTACTTTAAGTAATTTTTCTGACTGTTCTAGGTTGTTTATTCTATCATAAGACCTCCTAATGAGGTCCTCCAGCCTCACTCTGTTTTGGAACTGAGTCTTTGGAGAACTCACATCCCTCTAGTCCACTTCCTATCGTCTCAGGCCTCTGTGGCCAGGGCCAGGCGTCCTGGGCTTGCTCAAAACCCAGCAGCATTTGTACCCTCCTTTTCCTGCCCTGATCCAGCACTCTGATGACAGAACGCATTCCCTTGGCCTTAAGTTGTCATATGACCTTTGACCTTGGCCTGACCCCAGCCACTTACATGTGAAATGAAGCATTAAGGGAATTAATAAAAGTGCAGGGAGGCTAGCAGTGGGGTCACAGTGCTATTTCCTCAGGTCAATGGGCCTGGAAATGTCTTGAAAACACTTTATTCTACCATACAAACAGGCTTACAAATAGGAATTCAGGATTTCATTCACTCAACTCTTTCATTTTTTCACTGTCTTCTTATGAAACAAATATGAAAAGTACCATTTTGCTCATGTAGGGAGCACCCTTCTGAGTCCCTCTGTAGCTCAAGGTTGTTTGAGTCAGGCAGCCTGAGAGAGACTATATTGCTTAGGTAACTGAAAGCCAAGTAGGTTAATATTCAAAATTTATGCAGTAAACATGGGCTACGTATGCTGCAGTGACAACCTCCAAATCTCACTCAAGGTCCAGGTAGAACAATCCAAGTGATCTTCAAGAGCAGCTATTTCCCCTGCATTTGCTCAGGTTTCGGGAATGCTGGGTTACACATGTTATAACCAGCAATGCTGCTGCGCCCACCATGGCAGCGGAGAAAAGGGCATTTCAGACAGTGCAACTGCCCTTATCTGCTTCTACCCAGAAGCGACACAGGTCACAGACCAGCCTTCATAATGTCTCTCGTATTGAAATATTCACAGACACACAAAAGCAACAACAGTAAAGCCTATGAGAAGACACCTGCTATTGGCCATCAGGGGGCCTAATAGACACAGCGTGGACAATAATAAGTGTCTTGGTCTCTCAGTAGCTTCTTGATCCCACAAAGAGATGGCTTTCCTCTATTCTCCTGGTTAAAAGGTTTTACAAATATCCACTCATTTCAAATCTTCCTGTTGAGCGCCTCTATTATGTGCAGGGACACAGTTCTTCAGCTTATTCCTCATATCAGGGATGTTCAGGGCTTATAGCATCTATGAGGGTATGATGAGGTGCCTGGATAGATATTTAGCTTATAAATATGTTGTCCCCTCTAGTAGATACCTGGGTTCTTGGCTCTAGTATATAAACACCGGTAGCTTGAAAAGGTCAAGCACACCATTAAGCTTGAATTAAGGATATCCGGAAGATAAGAGTGATTGAGAATGCCCCGAACTTAAGCAACTCAGTTCTCGGTGTTTTATACCGAGGAAATTCAGGACAAAGATAAAAGACCCTAACACCAAGAAACATCAGAGTGTGCCCCACTGTCAGTTCATGATGGCAGGTGGGTTGGTTGAGTAGCAGGAGGGTTGAGAACCAGGAGGTGATCTGAGAATATACTATGGAACTGAGCAGGGGCTTCCCCATGGAGCTGCTGTGGTTGTCACCCTCCGCACGTGGAAGGACCCCAGGCTGCTCCCAGGACATTACCTGGCACTGTGAGGGTCATAGCATCTCCTGAGAGGTCAGAGTCACGCAGTCCTGGCTTCACTTGGCACCCAGGCTACTACGCTAGGAACCAAGGCTACTATGGGTGGGGTAGAGCTAATGCAGTTTAATGCCCGTGTTCACCTCTGCCCATGAATGTGAGTGTAGGAGAGGTCTCTGTGCTAAGAAAGGGTTAAAACCTGAATTTTCTGAAATACTTGCCTTAATCCTTTGCTTTCATGGGGTTGTATCTACGGAACCCAAATGAACCCTCCTTACTTGTTCTCTGTGCTGGAGAGCGAACCGGACCCTGTGCTGAGGTGGATCTAAAGCTTCTCCAAGGGCCTGGTATCTCAACAGTACTGTCTTCAACCCCACAGGACAGTTCTTTTCTTCCTTTTGAGTCAGTTTTGCCATTTCCCTCCACTTTTGTCAAAGAATTAGGTTGCCTTACGTGCTGGGATGGGAAGTGGTCACTTTTAGAGGGACTGCCAGACCACCATGACCTTCCATGGGTCCCAATGGCCATACAGTGCTGTGGGGTCCACCCTCAGGCTGTCTATTGGGCCAGAGGTGGGCATCTGAGACAGGCAGATTCACTTCCACAGGAATTTTGACCTGATATCAAGCAAGCGTTTCTGATCTCTGTGTGACACATGACTCTGTGCTTGGGCAGCTGAGAGCCTGAAGCAGAAGAAGGTGGTGGGAGGAGGAAGAGAGGCGAGGATGCAAAGGCAGAAGCAGGGAGACCGCACAGCGTCGCTTGTGCACCCGCAGTCCTTGAGCCACCTCAGAGCTCTTCATTCTTAGAAAAAATGCCTCCCTGGGCTTAAACCATCTCCACTGCTTTTTCCTTTGTATTTGCAATGAAATACCTTTCTAAGCTCTCTGGCGGATGGTGTCCAGGTTTGACTCCTGAATTGAAGATTATTTGCTCCCTGTTGCATAACTGACATATTTCAGAAGCTGCCAAGACTTGGGGCATTTTTTTTCAGTAACAGGAAAAAGGTCTCAGCAGAGAGACTGAGCTGTGTGCTGTTGGGAGGTGTGGTTTTTGTTTTCCTCTCTTTTTTTAACCTATCAATAATCACTTTATTTGAATGATTTTTCATTTTTAAATTATAGGTGACATACTGTGTTATATTAACTTCAGGTGTACATCCCAGTGATTAGTCATTACATAACTGACTAAGTGATCATCCCGATCAAACTCCTACCCATCTGACACCACGGTTATTAGATGTGGCTTTTTGCTTTCAGACCTGCTGTCCTACATTTGAGGTGTGGCTGCTGAGTGTTGGGAAGAGGGGTGTGGCCTCCGGTCCCTGGGAACAAAGGAGGGTTCCTTTCCTGTCTTGTTGCCTCTCCTATGAGCCTGGGCTTCATCTAGGTGTCCTTCCAATTTCTTAAGCACAAGTGTCATTAAAATCAACTGGTATACATAGGCCTTTGGTCTAAAAGTTGACCGGCCAGAAGTATAAGGTTTAGGATCAGATGACCTTTCATGTGACCAAGTTGTAGCACTGGGGTCTAGAGCAAGCCACCACCCACTCCCCTCTATGGGAGGAGGAGAAGGAACTGCCCAGCTGTCTCTGAGGCGGCCTGGGGGAAGAACCTCCTGGATGGAGGCCAGGGCAGGGCTGGGGGTGATCCTGAGCATGGCTGGACCCTCTGTGCCTGAGATCTCGGCTGGAATGGGGATTGTGCAGGTGGGACTCCCTCCCAGGAGCCGACAGGCAGTCACAATGACAGGGCAGAATGAGGTCCTGGTGTGCAGGGATGCGGAGGAGGCTGCTGAACTGGGCCACACAGTCCTGCCAGGGAGGCAGATGACCTGCCAGGTCAGCCCACGGCGCTGTGCTCCTTCCGGGGCTCAGGCCTTGAAACAAGGAGCAGCCACTGGAACCGCCCAGCCCTGGGGCTCCAACTGGCATTGGCCAAGGGGTCCGGGGCTCCGGGAGGTCCTGAGCAGGCATGTAATGTGGGTGCCAGGGATCTGAGCCCTGGACAGAATGAGCTCATCCCTGGAGTGAGGGTGAGGAGGGGAGAGAA